AGGTCAGGAGTTTCCAGACCAGCCTGGAGAACATGGCAAAATCTCGTCTCTACTAAAAATATAAAAATTAGCCAGGCATGGTGGCATGCGCCTGTAATCCCAGCTATTTGGGAGGCTGAGGCAGGAGAATCGCTTGAACCCAGAGGCGGAGGTTGCAATGAGCAGGGATCGCGCCACTGCACTCCAGCCTGGGCGACAGAGCGAGACTCCATCTCAGACAAAAAACAACAACGAAGAAAAACACAAAAACCACTGAGGCCTGAAGATAAAGACACACGTACACCCACAAATGTCAGACTTTCAGAGGCACGGCCCAGCCAAAAGACACACACACACAGAGGGCTGCGGACGGACAGGCCGGGTCCAGAGTCAGGCTCAGGTGAACAAGACCCGAAGAAACAAACACCAGGGAGATTTCGGAGGCGTCCGAGGACACCGCGGAGCCCGGCTGCTGCCCCGGCCTCAGTGCGCGCCCCTGCCAGGGTCACCCCGCCCGCGCCCGACCTGCGCCCGCGCACCGCGCCCTCGGGGCTCCCGTGGACGGCCCGCGGCCTGGCCCGTGCGCCCGGGCTCCCCTCCCCGCCGGCCGGGCACTTCCCAGCTCTGACGCGGGAGCTTCTTTCACACCAATGGGGCTCGCGCGCGGAGGGGCCCTGCCCCTCCTCCGGGAAGGTGTGTCCCTGTTTCCTCACCTGAAACTTCCTAGGAGAACCCGATCCCTCCCTCACGTCGGGCGGCCAGGGGCGGGCCGCGGGTGGGGCGGCCGGGCCTGCGCTGGGGACGGCGCTGGGGACTGCGGCCGGCGCCGGGACCTGGAGGGGACGCTGGGGCCAAGGCAGCAGCATGTGACACCGACCAGGTGGGTGCCCTTCTCCCGCCTCGGCCCCGGGCCCCTGGCGGCTGAGGAGCGCGGCGGAGGTGGGGCAGGCCCGGAAGGAAGAGGAAGCCAGGCCTTCCCCTGGGATCGGCCCCCGCGGGGTCCGGGGCGCAGGCTCCGGAAATGGGGGGGCTGGGCCTGTAGGCCGGGCTCGGGTGTGCGTCTGAAGACCCTGGTCGGGAAGAGGAGAGGAACCGGGGGAAACGCCGTTGCCTAAAAGTTTGCTTCCGGTCGGGTCCCGCCTGGGAAACAGGCACCCTGCCCCCAGACGTTCCCGGGCCCGTAATCAGGGCTCTGGCTTCAAAGTCGGCGCCCTGGGGAGAGCTAAGCCGCGTCCGAAGGAATAACTGAGATTCACTTTCCAGGCTGTTCCTTACCTGGAGAGGTCTTATCCGCTCCTTTTCCTTAACCAGGCCGGGCCCTTTCCTTGTGTATCTCCAGAGGTATTTGCATAGTGAGTCTGTGTGTGGCCTCTCTCCCTGTTCCTCAAAGCTCTGTAACCTGGAACGGTGACTCCTGCCCTGCCCCTCACCCCAGTTCCCTAGAGATGGGGAGCCTCCCAAAGCTTCATGTGAATCACAACATTGCATTCGTAAGTTAGCCAGGTGGAAAGAAGTTATTGACAGTTGGGGGCGGGGTGTAGGAGCTGGAGGGCTAGAATGGGGGCTCAGAGCTCTAGAACCCCCGGCATCCTTAGTTGCCTTCCAGCAAGACTGCGGAGGGGAGTCAGTGGTGATGCCACTTCATGTCCAGATCTCAATCCCCTTCTTCCCTTCCTGGATCTTGCGTTCCGAAGACGGATTTGCCCTCCTGTCTACCTAGAAGTGAACTCTGGCCAGGACTGTTGTCAGATTGAGAGGGAAGGGTGTGTCAAGCAGACGAGAGGGTGGTTTTCCTTTAGAACTTCCTTCCTCGCTTGCTCCCCCACTGCACGCCACTGTCTCGCCTGCATCCTGGGCCTACTCCAGAGATCCCAGCTCCCAGCTAAAAAGCTCCTGATGTGGCCTCTGTCTCAGACGTCCTGTTTTATCCGCACTTGGAGCATGAAGAAGCTCCTGGCATAGGCCCTGGCAAAATGGGTGTCATTTGTTAACCAGTCTGTGGGCCTAAAACTGAAGCCATGGCTTGTGAAGGAGTCCTGGGGAGCTGGGAAGATGGGACTGGGGGTGTCAGTTCTACGTGAGACTGTTGTGCAAGAGGAATACATGTCATGGTCTTAGTGGGGAGGAGTGAGACATCAGGAGGAGTGCAAAGGAATCTCTCTCATCAACAGAATATAGGGATTCTCAATAGTCAGGAGCCTTCATATATTAGAGGCCCTGAGAGTGTATCCCTGCTCTTAACACAGTCTGTCTGAGGTTCCCTGGCCACATTACGTGTGTGTCTGTGGGATAGACAGGAATACGTCATTTGTGGTGTCTGAAGAGATCGGTCACTATGTGGTATGGACAGGAATGGTGTCACTCCTAGAGTCTTGGGTTCACCAGGAGCAGCATTACTCAAGTGTCAGTGGTGTAGACTCAAACAGGTGACCAACAGCTGTGGTGTAGACAGGAGCCGGGTCACTCACAGTGTCTGTGGGGTAAGCAGGAGCTGATTGCTTATAGTGCCTGAAGGTAGACTGGAACAAAGTCACCCTCGAGGTGTGTGTTAATACACAAACGCATCACTCACACTAATATGATCTGCATGGACACCACCAGGACCACAGATGAGTTTGTGAAGTGTAAGTCAGCATTGACACTAATAATGTTTTTATATAAACCATCTGGTCTATAAGGCAGTTGGTATGACATTTTCAGACCTTAGGGAATAGATAAGAAATGTTTATTACAGTTTTTACTGGCATGGTGGGACTTTCCTACAGTGGATAGAACACACGTTTTAGTCAGTGGTCAAGAAGGCTACCCCTATTTTGATATCTTAGTAGCACTGAGGGCAGTGATGTCAAACAGTGAATAAAGTTATATATTTATGTGGCGATCTTATTTTAACCTCAATATTATTTTAGTGATTTGTAAGTCAGCATATTTGAACTCAACCTTGCTAGAAAATCCAGGGAGCATGGTCCTCAAAAATATACATGGCACTCAGCCTTAGTTCAAAAAATTAGCTGTTTGATTGGGGAGGGGTTATACTTTTGAAATACAGTTTTGTGTCTCGTGACTAGAAATAGACAAGAGCTAAGGTGTTGGCAGGTGGGCTCTAGGGAAGATAGTGAGCTCTGTCACACATTGTGTTAAAGGGATGACTTGAAGCTTTGCCTCTCAAGAAGTCACATGTGGATGAAGTTATATGGATGTGAAATGTCTGTGGTCTGAAGGAAGGCCATATACCCATGATGCCATGCCCTGGCTTTGCCTATACACAGATAAACAGTGATTATTCACCCTCAGTGGAGAAGGGGATGAGGATGTTTGCACTCTAACGTAATGAGCATAGCAAAAAAAAAAAAACTGTCTCCTGATGCCTTTACGTGAGTAAGACCATGATTTACAGATTTCCTTTCGCTTTGTCACATTTTAGCTTTGTCATGCCTGATTGCAACAGGATCACTGAGATAGGATCAAGTATAGGGAACGTGGGGTATTTCTCCCTTTGCGGTAACCAGTGGCTGAGCAGGTGACCACTGGTATTTCCAAATGAAAGAAGACTGTTAGAAACGGTGTCAATGGGTTTGCAGAGGCAGGCATGCATTGTGCCACTAGATTGAAACAGAAAATGTCCAGGTAGCACGTGGTATTTATAGATATACCGTAGATGTGGCAGAAACACACTTTTTTTTTTTTTTTTTTGAGACAGAGTTTTGCTCTTGTTGCCCAGGCTGGAGTGCAATGGCGTGATCTCGGCTCACTGCAACCTCCGCCTCCCGGGTTCAAGCAATTCTCCTGCCTCAGCCACCCGAGTAGCTGGGACTACAGGCGTGCTCCACCATGCCCAGCTAATTTTTGTATTTTTAGTAGAGACGGGGTTTCTCCTTGTTGACCAGGATGGCCTCAATCAATTGACCTCATGAACCACCCGCCTTGGCCTCCCAAAGTGCTGGGATTACAGCCACCAAGAAACACACTTCTATTTGGAGGTTACTTGTTTTGAGAGCGTGATGGTGTATATGGAGGAGGGGAGCTGAAAATACAGATGTAGGTGAGGAGAGAGTACAGGTTTAGTCTCATGGTCTCCTTAGGCAGGAAGGAGCCAAGTTTTAGAAAGTGTCTTACAGTGAGCAAGTCTATTATTGAATGTGTGGTTGAGAGAATAGGGCCACATCACAAAATCACCCGTAAGGATTATAGTGTTTTGTACGAAAGGGCTAGACATAGGGAGCAAATCACATATGGTGTCAGTTAACTGGAAAAGGACATAAAAGTCCTTCTGCATGTGCACAAGTATGACAGACATACCTCTTTGCCCCATAGAGATGGTATCTATGTTTCTGGAACGGCCAGAATCTTGTCGCATACTACATTTGCAGTGTAGTTGGGAACCTGCTCGTTTGGTTATGTCAGGCTCTATTGCAAGAGATTGTAAGGAGGGCTCACACTGTGTGTGTGTGTGTGTGTGTGTGTGTGTGTGTGTGTGTGTGCATGCACAGGTGGCTCAGCAGGACAGTATTCTGAGCAGCTGAGCTTTCAGTTGAAGCCTAGACCAGACAAGAAAGGTGCAGGGTCAGGTGCAGCATTGGGTCCATAGAATTCTGGGGTCTTCTCTGGACTGGTGGCCTTCCAGCTTTCTTTCAGTGGGACATCCAAGTGTTCACAATAAACCTAAGTCAAGAGACTTTCTTCAGGTTTGCCTATACCATTTGCTTAGGAGGTCTGAGCAAGGGTCTAGGGTCTTCGACATTTAGTTTCTTCATCTGTAAATTGAGCAAAGTTTCTGTGTGTCTCTGATGGTCCTGCCAGCTTTATGAATCCTATGTTTCTCTCTTACACTTATTCTCTCTCTTTCAGATCAGCAGTATTTACAATAGCCACCATTTCTATGACCCTTAAGAATAACAGTATACATTTTTATGTCATCTTGTTTAATCTTTACTAGAATTGTGATGTAATCCTTTTATCTCCTTTTTATAGATAAGAAAATGTGTGTTCAAATAAATTAAATGGTTTCTGCAGTTGTCTTAAAACCAGCAAAGATATCAAAGAGGCACAACTAAACACTGAGCCACACTCTTTTAACGCTGCATTCTTCCGGCACTCATTTATGCAGTGCATCTTTGTTGAGAGCCAACTAAGTTCCAAGCAGAGGGGATTGAGCAGTTGATATGGCAGTGTTTGTGCCCTATGGTGCTCATGCTGTAGCCTGGAAAATAGACATTAAATATGGCATGACTAGTACAAGGTGTATTTGAGGAAAAGCAAAGGATTCTCTTTTGCAAAAGAGGATTCCAGTCAGAGAGGCAGTGTTTGCAAAGCCCACACTGCCCTACAGGTGAGAGACAGTGAGCTAAAGACACTGAAAGCCAGTTGTGTGTTGGGGGATGCAAGGACAGATGGTGACAGGTGAAGGGGCTGCTGGAGAAGAAGGCAGAGCCAGGTTGTGCAGGGAGTATAACCCATACTGAAGATTTAGGTTTCATCTCAAGAGCATTCAGAGGCTACTGAAAAATCTAGAAGTGATGCTTTTGAAACTCACTTAGGTGCTGTATAGAGAATAGATTGGAATAGGCGCAAAATGGCTGGAGGCCAGCGCCCAAGCTGTGACCAGATGCAGTGGCCCGGGCAAGAGGGTAGCAGCACGCTCCAGTGGAGATGGATGGGACAGTCTTAAGGGATATTTAGCAGATGAGGTCAGTAGGACATGGTGATTGATTAGATATGTGGAATCTGGGCCAGGAAGGAAACAAGAATTTAATTAGAAATTAATTATTTATTTATTTTGAGACAGGGTCTCACTCTGTCACCCAGGCTGGAGTGCAATGGTGTGGTCTTAGCTCACTGCAACCTCTGCCTCCTGGGCTCAAGTGATCCTCCCACCTCAGCCCCCGAGTATCTGGGACTACAGGTACATGCCACCATACTCCACTCATTTTTGTATTTTTTGTAGAGAAAGCGTTCCCCATGTTGCCTAGGCTGGTCTCAAACTCTTAGATTCAAGCATCCCATCTGCCTCAGCCTCCCAAAGTGTCGGGATTATATGTACAAAATGCATTGGGAAACTCAATTTCCCATCTGTAAAATGGGCAGAATAATGGTACCCATCTGATACAATGATTCTTAGATGCATGGTATATACATATTTAAAGAAGTTTTTTATTTTTAATGACATGTATGCAGGAAAACCTTAGTGTTTCAGAATGAGAAATAAGAAAAATTAATTTGTTGTGTATACGTCTCTAAATGTTTAAAGTTCTATGTAAACTGGTAATCATGATTTTAGGAAAAGGTGGGCATTTTCCATTGAAGTGAAAGGATCACATTTTATTTTGGCCTAAATTTTATTCTTTATGTGAAAAATATTTATCAAATGCTTAGTGTGGGCCAGGTATTATGCTAAGTATGGACAATTGCGCAAGACATCATTCTTAATCTCATACATTTTACCATCTGTTGAATAGAGGGTAAATCAAAATACGTACATCATTATATAA